TATCAAACATACATGTGAATATGATAATAAAAGATTATACTACGTTACTCTAGTTCTATACTCCTTTACATAGTACATGTACTCGTTTGAGATACTAGCTTGTATTTCTTTTGATATGAATATTTCAAAGTTTCCTAGTTAGAAAATATTTTTTCTATATTTAGACAGGACAAGTTCTAATTCTTTTACTCTTATCAAATCTTTATTCTGAAATTTTTTCTACTATTAAACCTTCAAAGCTAGAAGAAACAAAATGCTTGATACAGTAGTGATTATAATTAATGCAACAAAAAAAAGTTCGTTGAATCGAAATATTTCATGCAAGTTCAATGATATCCTTTTTTTTGATGGGTTTTATTCGTTAATAGTATCATTTTTAGATAATAAAAATTAAATATAGATTCATAAGTCAATTATCCCACAAATTATATGTTTATTCAGTAAATATTATTGCATTATTATTTTCTTTTTGAACACAACTCAAATATGACATATAAAACTAAACTAAAATACTAATTTTTTTATTTAAATATATATATTAGATAGAATTCGGTCCACTCTACCATATTGTATACCCATCTCATGTTTTTATTACATCATGAACTCTTTCTGGCATAGAATGAATCAAGTCAGTATATCTATTAACATTAATTCTTTGTCAAATCTGTTGTATCTTGTTTCACAAATCCTTCTTATCTGAAATTTATACAGAAAGACACTGAAGGCAACAATTAACCTCATTCCATAAATGTTTAATGGAGTTCAGACAGGTAATTGTGATAACCAATCCAATACTTTAATTCTATTATTCTAAAGTATTATTTTGTCAAATTTGCTGTATGCTTAGAATCTTCATCTTGTAGAAAAATAATATTTTTAATAATAAATCTATGATCTCTAATAGTATTCATAAGATTATTTCAAAATATTTGTTGATATAATTCAGTATTCATTATATTATTAATTTTATAAAAGTCACTAATATTCTGAGATATAAAGTAATTCCAAATTATTACTAATTATTTTCAAACTTTATTATTAGTTTAATATAAAATTAATTTAATAATTCTCTCAGTTATTTTCAATAATATTGCTTTTATTTGAACTAAAAATTTAAACTTCAACTCATTAATCTTTAATCAATTTTCAGTAATTCAATTTTCATGATTTTATACAAATTTTATTTGATATTCTTTACTTAGATAGGTCTTCTTTTATTTTTGATATCAAATTGTTAATCTATAATATATAACAAATGATAAGTGCTAAAATATTAATATTTTCTTTTTATTGTATATATTTTTAGACTTTTATTATGGATAAAGATCTTTAAGTCAATAAGATTAATAATATTTTATTGATTTATTAATAATAAATGATTTATCAAACTTTATTGCATCTTAAAAAAGTGTTATTTGCAGCATTTTTATTAATATAAGAAATTGTTAATAGATTAATATTTTTTGACTTTGCTATTTATCTTGTAATATATTCATTTTGAAGAGAAAAAAGAATTGTACTCATTCTTTTGGTATTATATGATGGATCTGGTACGACATCCCGAAACCATAATCCCGACAAGCCATAAACTCGACAAACGAAATCCCGAATGCACAGCATACCGACAGCACGAAATCCCGAATGAACAGCATACTGACAGCACGAAATCCCGAATGAACAGCATACCGACAGCACGAAATCCCGAATGAACAGCATACTGACAGCACGAAATCCCGAATGAACAGCATACTGACAGCACGAAATCCCGAATGAACAGCACACCGAAAGCACGAAATCCCGAACAGCATACCGACAGCACGAAATCCCAAATGAACAGCATACCGATAGCACGAAATCCCGAATGCATGAAATCTCGATATTTAAAATCTTAATATTTCACTTCATTAATTCATTGGTATATCTGGTATTTCGTCCATTCGAGATGCCGTGCATTCGGGATTTCGTCCATTAGTGATGCCATGTATTCGGGATTTCGTGCTGTCGGTATGCTGTCCATTCGGGATTTCGTGCTATCGGTATGCTGTTCATTTGGGATTTCGTGCTTTCGGTATGCTGTGCATTCGGGATTTCGGTTGTCGGGTTTATTTTTTGTCTGGATTGTGGTTGTCGGGATGTTGAACGTCACCGGCTGAAAGGCCAGTAAGTCCAAAATAGGCAATTTCAGCAAAAATTCATTTAATATATTTCCAGGGTGTAAGTCACGATGCACAAATCCCTCTGTAATTTTTTCATATCATCGATAATATTAAATAAATATTCCTAAATTGAAATTCCAATTCAAAGTTGAACTAATATATTTGGATCGAGTATTTATTTGTAGTTGGAATTCTATATTATTATAAGATGAATCTATTTTGAAAAAATTAATGGTATAAAAATGCTTACACTTTAGAAATGGTTTATTTTTACTTCATTAATCAACTCTGATGCAATTTACTTTGAATCACGTAATGATTTCATATTCTCCATATCGTTTAAAATTATTTTCTACATGATTCCACTGGTCCATCTAACCAGGTCGTTTTATAAATTGTTCCAAAACCTCAATTTGTTTTAATTTCACGCATTCTTTTATTAGACTATCGATATCTTTACTTTCGCTAGACCATTCAGCTTTATAGAATTGATAATTATGTTTATAATATGAATCGCAATACTAATTTTTTAACAACGAGTACGTATTGTAATTTGAAGACTTTTATTACAGTAATCATTGGTTTGACATTTACTACAATCATGAATATTATGAACTGAACATTCATCGTTGTAGTAATTGGTTCGACAACAAAAACATTCACTACAATCATGAGTATTAGAATCCATCATTTGTATGTCATCTGAAAATTATTACACACGAAACTTCGAACCGTTTCTAATATTGATATCAAGCAAAGGAATGCATATGTCTAGCCGCACAATAAAAGTAACCTTGAACTGTGTAGGGTTGGTAGACTTACGTTTCAAACAATTACCTTTATAAAAGATTTGCAACAAAAGAAAAAAGCGGCTTTTTAGCTAATGGCATCCAAAATCTTGCATTGTTTTCTTCAAATTGCATAGAAAATATATCCACTACTCTGAAAAAACAATTATTACAATCTTATTCACAAATTGTTTCAAATACACAAATTGGTCCAATGCGCTTTAAAATTGCGTATATGCTAATATATCAGGTTTTATTATCAAAAAGAATAACACAAATTTTTTTAAAAACAGTAAATTTCTTGATCATAAAAAGTTTCTCGAATACATTTTTCTTTTCTATAATTTCAGTAACGTTAACCTATCGATATACATGTACATGTACATTTTTTGTTGCATTCACGTTAAATCACGACATTCGGAATTCCTGATTTGAAACTTACCTAATACATGTACATGTATATGTAAATGTTTGAAATTTTTGATTACGATAGTAATAGTGCTCAAACCAACACAAAATGCACGTGTAACATAAACCATCTTGTTTGCTACAGGATAATTAGTAGTTACCTAAAAGGGCACATCTGATTTTTATTTAATCATTAACATTTTGCTACTTTTGTATGTTCCGTTCATCCCCAACCTCAAATAATTTCCTGATTTGAGTTTACAAGGAATGTATGACAGACTGTGCACATATACATATACATGTACATGAACATAAAATTTTCTTTGTGAGATTACGTACATTACTTTAAGCATTTGTTTTGATTATTCATCAACTTATTTGAGTAAACATAACAATGATAATTATAAATTAACAGCCGCCTCCCATACGCAAAAAATAGCAATACCGAAATGTTAATGTAATACATGTATGTATTATATACATGCACATGTTTATCTTCACTACGCAACATGATATCGTTATGCACTTTTTTACGTACTCGTACATGCACATGTATTTGAAAAAATATAATGATTTTTCTACATGATCATAAAGTTTCTTTAAATTTAATAATATATTAATTTCTGTGTTGACAATTTGGGTCAACAATTTCAAGTTGGCCTGAACAACGTACACTCATAAATAAATTTAATTTGATGTTTTGCGTTCTTTAAATCAATATCTACCTGATTTTCAAACACAACATCCAGTGATCGATTCGAGCAAAAACATCGTTCATCGAGATGAATCCAATGATACTGGATGTCGAAATATTGCGCTTTGAGTGGCCAGATATGCTTTTTGTAATCACTATTAATAATATTACAATCAGACTACAGTGCAGGTCACTTAGTTACCACAATTGGCCAAATCTTTAAGACCTATTAACTCAAGAATCTGAATTTTTCCTGTCAAAAAAATACGTAATGTTATAGAGTAGTCAATAAACTATTGATTTACGTATTTTCTAATTTTTCTGAATTATTTTAGGGCTCTGATATGATTTGAAGTTAATTTTTTGTGTGACTAAGTGACCCGCACTGTAGTAGCTTAGTTCTGGCAACTAGTTACATTGAGATTTTTGATCTTTCTATTTGAAAAAATGCTTGGGATGATTCAAAATTTCCTTGTGAGTATTAATTCCAGTGTGATCCTATAAATATTTTACTTCAGAGTACAAAAGCTCGATCATGATTATAAAAGAGAAATCAACAAGAAATTATTTTTTATAATCTATGGTATTATTTGACAGCATAAAAGAAAGCTCTAGTTGAAATATGAACTATTTTATATATTAGGATTTTCTCGTAGTTATGAAAAAATAGCATACAGAGTTTGTGTATTATGCATGTAAATAAGAATATTGTTTCTTTCAATACTTATATGCTAAATACGCTCCAAGACTTTTAGAAAAATTCCGTAATTATATACATGTACATACACTTAAACTTAAAATTTTTCGATATCCATCAACCGGTGACAGAAACACCAAATTAATAAAGTAAAAAAAGACTCATGAACATAGAAATTACATGTACATGTATATCGATATGTAAACACCAGTGAATATGTGATTATAAAGAGGTGTTTATATAAATAGTGGTGATTACTACGTAGACTGTATATGCTTCTGCATGTATATGTTGTACGCTATGCTATGCTATGCATTTCCATAATCCCAGTACTCACGACACCACGATCACGAATTGCATTATTCAACGGCCGCCGATTTATGAATATGTATTTGGCAGTATTGATAAATTGTTTCGGTGGTGGAGAGCCAAGAATAAGTGGGAATGTGCTCCGTAGAATTGTATCGATTGCCGTCGTTAATGGCAAATGCTTTTGTGCACGTTCAGAAAACAGAGCTGTAATATACAATATCAAGTATAGCACTGACAGAGTGGCCAACAACACAAGATACCAAGTGGCAGCTGCTGCATTCTTCGGATTAATTTGTCCCGTTTTCGAAGTGGACGAGTCCCAATACAATCTTATCACCGGGTTAAAAGTGTACACGCACGCTAACATTGTCGTCAACATACCAGCAATCATTTTTATTATCCAAATGATGTATCGTGGCTGTTTTATGATATCATTTATAAAGAATATGGTGCTCGTCAGGTTTAGGATATTGAAAAGTAATAGACCAAATAGTGTCAATTTAAACATTATTGTGTTCCAGTGAATATTTTGGTAGAATTTTCGGCCCATTTCCAGAATAAAGGTTACAAGCATTGTGGTGTAAATTGTATTTTCGATTGCGACTGCTAACCAGTAGACGTTTGAATTTATGCTTTTTGCGAGGAATTGTATAAAATGTACAGTTGCAAGTGCTACTATAGATAGATTGCATATAAGACTGATATAAAAATAATGTATTTCGTTAATGTTTGTTTTAATTTATAAGGTTTTTACTGAATTTTAAAATTAATTTACCATGCAAGTTTCAGCTTCGTATATTTTTTCAAAACTTGATATAACAAGAAGCAGCTGGATAATGTACTTATTGCTAAACCTGCAACAACTAACCCTTTTTTTGCCACATCAATATTATCAATAGTATTTATCTCGTTTTCACTCATTACGAGAAAAAGTGGAAAAAATTAACGAAGAAAAAGAGTGTAAAATTATTTTCGAAAAATTCCACGATCGCGATGGCCAAGAACAAGAACAATCTATTTCGAAATACATTGAATAATCATATTTTGAATGGATTACATAACGATTATGATAAATGTAAACGAAATAGGTCTAGCATTACGTACGTACTTATTCTAGAAAGACGATACACATGTACATGTATTACTTTTTCTATGCTTATTTGGTTCAATTTAATGAGAATCAGGCGCGTTGCACGAATGTCATTTAAAATCGGGTGCACCCAGTAGAAAATTTAAACCTTCTATTCCATGAATCTTATTCATTTGCAAAAATATGTAATCGGACTAAATTAATGTTTAAATTTTTTATAAAGGGGGTACTCTATGCAGTGCTTTGCGGCAATGGAATATACATATACATGTACATAGGCTTATCGTTGAGCTGACATTGAAATTAGCAACAAATGTTCATTTTAAATACATTATCGATTTAAAATTTTTATTAATCAAAGTAGATTCAATCTTATTTGTCATCAATTATTTATTGAATGATATACGTATACCGTAAAATTCTCGAAATAACGGGCATCTGCGCGGGATTTCGAGTGCGTTATTCGAAGCTGAGCAGAAAATCGGCTCTGGGACCATTATGCTAATTACGAACCATAAAAACTCTAGCATTGCATCCAAATAAACTACTGCATGTACACATGTTATAGATCCGCTGAGATGCGACGCACATGGCGTTATTTTAAAATCAACTATGCTATTTTTAGAAGGTGCGATTTTCGAAATAACGCCCATGCCCGTTATTTTGAGAATTTATGGTACATGTATTATATAAATATACATGTACAGTTCCCAAAAAAGTATCGCCCGATTTTTTTAAAAAATGAAATTTTCGATTTATTTCATTTCTGCTTTATATACATAAAAATTTT